TCTCTGGTGTGTGAAATATTATAATTACTCTCCCATTCCAATCTCTATGTCCATATGTGGGGTGTGTGTATGTGTGTGTGTGATGCCAGTGAAAACACTCAAGAGGGTATTTAACTTCAGGATAGGGGGTGGAAAACAAGATAAACGCCAAAACACTAAAGCAATAAACCCAGGGGAAATATCGAGTAGGAACTCCTTTGGATATGGACTCTTTGTTTTTGTAGATTCTGAAGGCCAGAATATCTGTTTTCTTTGAAGTACACCCATATGAGAGTTTCGATGCAGAACATTTTGAGATGGTCTTGAAAATAGATTCAGAGAGCTGAATTAAACCAGGGCTTCTTAACATAACAAAATGTAAGACATTACATGTAAGGAGCCATATTCCCTAAGAGTGGTAAGTACACTGGTGTTAGGATATATGGCGATAGTACATGGCTGAATATTTATTTCCAATAGCTTAATGAAGACACAATAGTTATGTTTATTTTAACGTGTATTAAACTATGATTTCATGTACATTACTTAACCATACAAAGCATGACTTCTTGTATACTGTTGCTTACGACAGCAGTAATAATAAATTGCCTTAAAGTTATTCAGGTAAAAGAAATTAGTCACAGGGTGCCTGGGTGGCTCAGTAGGTTAAGCGTCTGCCTTCGGCTCAGGTCATGATCTCGGGGTCCTGGGATTGAGCCCCACGCCAGGCTCCCTGCTCAGTGGGGAGTCTGCTTCTCCCTCTCCCTCTGCCCCTCCCCCTGCTCATGCTCTCTCTCGCTCCCTCAGATAAATAAATAAAATTTTTTAAAAAAATAAGAAATTAGTCAGTGAATGGAGAATATTCCTTAAAAATGTACGGGTGGCCCACAAGGATGGCAACACTGTGAAAGAGGTTTATGAATGACTGAGGTTGGATGAACGCTATGTTAAAGAATTGCACATATTCTTTGAAACTAAAGACTTGTCGTTTTTGGCTTATGGATGAAAGCGTCAAGGAGGTTGAGTTGCATGCATTACATGTTTGTAAAATGCAGGCGATGAATCTCTCCTGAGTGTCATCCTATTTCCTTCGTTGAATCGACCATTATATTCTGGGCTGTAGAGAGAAGCTGTGTTGTTTATGACTCCTGGAGGTGTGTAATGGATCATGGAGTAATGTCTGTAGTGCACACTCTTGCAAAACAGCACTATGGGACCTCTGTGCTCTGCACCATGCAGACTGAAAATGTCCAACAGGCAACAGTATTATGACTGAACCAAGTCTAGGGACATGGAGAGCCTCACCGTGCCTATACTAAACTAGATTCCCATTCTTTGGGCTATCATCAAGCAACCTGACGGCTGTTCTTTTCGCTGAGCTAAATGCAACATCTCACGCCAGATTTATTGGCTTGGCAAAGCTGCAAATGTTATTACGCAAAAGTTGAGAAAGAGCAAAGCTGAGGAGTGCTAAAAACAGTACACTTTGCTACTGTGTAGTATCTGCATTTGGGGCTCAGGGTGTTTTATTTATAGATATCTATTAATACATAGTAAGAGATACAGAAAGAAATACATAAAAAATAGCTTTATCAAATAGTTTCCAGTATTCAAGTGTAACATCAAAAGCAAGAACAGCAATAGCAAACTGTTCTATTGAAGAAAAAAAAAAAAAAAGCCATGTTCTTAAGTCTTCTCTCCCTTCCCTTTCCTTTCCTCTCCCAGGTCTGTGGCTACAAAGAGCCCACACCCTCCTAGATCTTGGAGGGGTGGGGTGCGGGCTGGGGAGGGAGGTGGGATGTCCCCATGTATTACTTCGCCCGGCTTTTTTAACCTCCACCTCTCCTACCTCCCTGTCTAGCCATGCTGGAAGTGGAGGAGAGGTGGGAGCGCGGAGCTTGTAAAACTGGTTTGTTGGGCTTCTTCTTCCCTCTCTTGCTTCTTGGGAAAATGTCTTGCTGGGCAGCTCCCTGGCAGTACCGAGCTGCCTTTTTTGAGCTTGAGAGGGGCTTCCCCTTCCTCTGGCAGAAGGAAAGGGGGCTGCACCCCGAGGTGGAGATGGAGAGAAGGACGGAAAAGGCAGATCCCACTGCTCCCCACAAGACACACAGAGAAGGGGAGGACCACCCGCCATTACACATGCCCACAGGCATCTTGGAAACTCAGGATTCAGAGATGGGGGCGAGACTGCACTTGGAACAATGGGATTTACCCACATCTGAAACCCAGTGCATTTACTTCACAGAGTCATAGAAGGCCTGGGGTCAGGGGTGGGGGCGGATCACTGCCCACTTTTTGTATTCCCATGCCCAGGATGACACACACAGGAATGGAGGGGAGACTGTGGGAAGGCGTGTGGGCAGCTTCATTTCGCTTCACATCTCCACCTGATAGCTTGGCGCTTCTGGCCCTGCGGGGGCAGCCTCAGTCATGTGGGAGTGGTGGGGAGGGGGGCTTCCCTGCTGGAGGGTAACCCAGGCTCGACCTGGAGAGACTGGGAAGGGCGGGGAGGGGGCGTCATTTCCAGCAAGGAGCTTAGGACAGGTTGGTCCTGACTGTGACCAGGGTTTTGTCAAAGTTGCCAGGAAGTTAAAGAGGGGGTGAGCAGGATCCCAGGCCGCGTCTCCCTCGCTGGGCAGGGGGGAAGCGGGGGAGCTTGGAGCCTATGAATGTGACATCAGTTCTTCTCCGCTCTCCCTGTGCTCCCTCTGCGGGGAGGAGGTCGGGACACACCAGCCAGAGCTGAGGTGGGCAAAGCTGGCTTCCAGCATGATGTCGCCCCGTTCTAGGGTGAGCTGTGCCCTCCCCAGCCCCCAGGGCTGGGCTGAGGTAAGCCTATGAAGAGGCAGAAGGCCCAGGCAGAGTCCCCCCGGGGCTGGGTGGAGGCCTCTCTGGTGTGGGTGTGGGAGGGAGGGTTCCTGCCTCTCCTTCAGCTCCAGCTCTTGTTACAGTGGCTCTTTCAGGGAACAGATCTCCTTCTGCACCTGATTCCGCTACTGTTACTGTCTCCCCAGGGGGGACTTCCAGGGAGGTCCAGGGAGCCCAGGGTGCCCAGGTCCACAGCTTTTGTGCTGGGATGAAATCTGTCCTTTTGATTCTAGAGGTGAGGGGTAGGCAGGGAGGAGGAGGAAGAAATGGTTGGAGGGGATCCTCCTGAGTATTGGAAATGGGTCCACATTTGAATACCCCTCCATTGCCCACCCTGGGGGAGGGGACTGGAGTTAAACAAGGTGAGGAAATGCTGGAAGCATCTATTTCATGGTGTTCCCAGGTGCTAGATGTAGACTCACCTTTCTCCTGTGCCGGGAGGATGCTCTAAACTTCTCGCCTCGGCCTTACCCAATGCCCGGCAAGAACTTCGGTAGAGCATGGGAGCTCTGGGAGCCCCGGTTTTCCCACCTGGAAAATGAGGCTACTGGAAAAAGCCAGTGTCTTACATTATGTTTTGCTTTATATGGTTACGAGACGTTCAACTCCACAGTGGCTGCCCCGTGGGTACTTCGGGGTATTTCAAGGGCAAACAGACAGAGATTGCTTTGAAAATGTAAACGCACTATTAAATGTGAGGTATTATCTGATCTCCTAATTCAGCACGGCCATTTCCTCCTTCCCAACACCACCTGCGTGCACTTCATATCCACCTAACCCTGTACTAGAACACCCCTTTGCCCTAAAATGAAGAACCCGAGGGGGGAGAATGATTCAGAAAAGATGTCCCTGCACAGGGAGTAAGTGAATGTTCTGAGGGGCACCCCTTTCTCACGGGAGGAGGCACCGGTCCTTCCTGTTCCTCGGCCCCCCTCTCAGGCTGCGTTCCTTCTGTTACGGGGCCCCCAGGGCTTTGAGTGTTTGCGCTCAGAAAACATCAGCCCCTGTAGCTCTTCATCTCCCCCTGGCGTTCCTCTCCCGCTATTTCTCAACCTTGGTGCTATTGAAGGCGGGGGGCGTTCCGGGAAGGGGAACGGGTGGGCACAGAAAAAAAAGTTTATAGGGGTATGATATCGAAAGCACTGGGTTTCAGGTATGTGCCTGAAAGGGCTCTATTTTTCTTTTAAATGCCCTTTCCTTGCCATTCCTTCACCGATCTTTTTCACTGTGCACGCAAGGAACTTTAGCAAAAAAGACTTGGGGGAGGGGGCTTGGAGTAAGGGACAAGTACCTCGATCTGCCAAAATCAGTTGACCCCCAGTGGGAGGAGGGGAGTGAAGAGGGAGAGCGTTCCCCTGTTTAATCAACACTAAGAAATCGGAGACATAAAAGGAAAACGAAGGGAACAACAATTAAAAAAAAATCCCCGCGCACAACAATACAATCTATTTAAACTGTAGCTCATACTTTTCATACCAATGGTATGACTTTTCTGGAGTCCCTCTTCTGATTCTTGAACTCTGGGGCTGGCAGCTTGCAAAAGGGGAAGCAGACTCAAGCGCTGCACGGGCAGGTTTACCAAAGGTCTCTAATGGGTATTTTCTTGTTCTTAGCCCTGCCCCTGAATTGTCAGACGGCGGGCGTCTGCCTCTGAAGTTAGCAGTGATTTCCTTTAGAGCCTGGCCTTATCTCCGGCTGCACGTTGCCTGTTGGTGACTAATAACACAATAACATTGTCTGGGGCTGGAATAAAGTTGGAGCTGTTTACCCCCACTCTATAGGGGTTCAATATAAAAAGGCGGCGGAGAGCTGTCCAAGTCAGACGCGCTTCTGCAGCGGCGCTGGGGCGAGCGCGCAGAGGGTCCTCGGTCGGGTCGGCGCCGCTGTCCCCGCGTGCGTCCGCAGACCGCTCCCAGCTGGCCCCCGCACGCCAGCGCCGCGTGCGTCCGCCGACCGCTCCCACTGCCGGCCCTCCTGGCAGAAAACTTCTTTTTTCTCTCCGTTAAAGAGCACTTAGGCTGAAGGCTCACTTCGAGATCTGAATAACCAGAAGCGCTTTGAGGGACCCAAAGCTATTATTTTTCTTCGTCTTCTTTTGGGTTCAGTTGGCAGGGGAGGACTTTGATCCCCCCCACTTTTTTTTTTTTTCCAGAATGGATTATTTCCCCATGATTTTCTCTCTGCTGTTTGTGGCTTTCCAAGGAGCTCCAGAAGCAGGTAGGCACGGCGACTTGTAAACCTCTGAACGTTAATGCCTTCTTGTCCACCTTAATGTTTTTCTTGCTTCTGTTTTCCCCTTATTTTTATGACTGCAGCTTAGATAGCAAGTGTCTGGGAATTACTGCTCAAAGCTACTTAAGTTTTCTAGTGGGGAAAAATAATTCCTCTGTTGAAAACAATTGCTCCTATGGCATTAAAATAACTTATTGTTATAAGTATATAGTGTATTTCCTTGGCTTTTAAAAATATAACTGAAGAAAAGTAAAGACAAGATATAATTTAGCCAAATGTATATTTGCAATATATGTGTTCGCACAGGTGATAGGACATATAGGGACTTATATATCTTATTTAAATACTGTTTTAATAGTGTGTGAATGTGTAAAATATTTAAACATTTCAGCTCGAAGCCAAGGAATTTTATTCAAGTCATTCAAGCAATATATGAGCAGTAAAATCACCTGCAGAACAGTCTGTTGAATAACCCTCGGGCGGTTTCAGGGTGAAGCAGATGTTTTCTTTAAAATTTGTCATTATTGACTTTAGGCTTCTTTTGGCAGGTTTTTGGCACTCAAAACAGTGTGAGGTCTATTTTCAGTTTTATTCACCTGTTGTGGGAGGGAAGCTAAGATAAATCTTGGCTGCCTGAGGATTTAGATAGTATACGTATATCTGCCCATTTCCCCCCTCTTAGGGTCAAGCCCTTTTTTTGTGTGTGGCTTTTCATGACCCTGACTAAAGAGAAAAGATGTCAAGGGAATGAAAATCCTGGAATGTGTCTGATCATTTGAAATGTACAAAATTGGGCGGATAAGCCTCATGGCTAGCTTGTCAGTAAGAAGAGGCCATGCTGCAGTGGGGAAGGGGGAGGCAGCCAGTACCCCACATGCCATCCTGCTCCGGGGATCCTGAATTCAAAATCCACAGAACCTTGATTAGGTCCCGGAGCTGCTGCTCAGTCTCACCCTAGGTCAGTACTTTCTCTGGAGTTTTTACCACGTGCGATGAGTATTGTAGAGCTGGTTTCTCTTCTTTCTCTCCAATCATCCCCTCAAAGCTCTTGAACCTCACCTAATTTCAAGGACTGTGTATCACCTGGGCTACTCCCTGCCCTCCACCAGGTGTGAAGTGGTGGGTACTCCCCTAAACTGCAGGGGGCAGTGGCTCCGAACCTAGGAAGAGGCAGGTGATTTATGTAGCTTCAGAGCTTGGTCATCAGCCCACTTTACGCCACTGTCCTACGAAATTGGGCTGTCCTATTAAATTCTATGCAGAAGCCACCCCAGATTTCTAACAGGCAGCATGTCCACGCATTTCTCTGGGGGCCGGTCAGTTAGTCCCCTTTTCAGGTGGCTGTTCCTGCTGCACGTGTATAATCTCCCTGAAAGTGGATAAGCCCGTGGGGGGTAAAGGTGAAGTCATGTTAAGGAGGGAAAAGATAAAGAGCCCTTTTTGCTCTGTGTTTCTTGTTGAAGGCGGGCTGCAGGCTTCATGGGCTTTTATCTGCTCGGCTAGATCCCAGGGGACATGCCCTGCTGACCTGCTCTTTCTCTCCCCAGCGGTCTTGGGCGCAGAGCTCAGCACGGGCTTGGACAGCGGAGGGGAGAAGTCCGCCGCCAGTGCACCCTGGCGGGCCCGCCGGTCCAAACGGTGCTCCTGCTCTTCCCTGATGGATAAAGAGTGCGTCTACTTCTGCCACCTCGACATCATCTGGGTCAACACCCCCGAGTGAGTCTCTAGAGGGCGTCGTCACTCTAGCTATTACTTACCTCTGGCTTCTCCAGGGACTGGAGCCCGGGGATGCTCATTGCTTTGGGGCGGGGTGGCGTGGTGGTGGGGGTGGGGGTGGGGGTGGGGGGCTCCTGGTTTGGATTCTGAAGGTAGCACTTCTGATGACATGAAGGTGCCTCGCGGGTGGGGGTTGGGAGGGTGCCCCCCCGCCCTTCCTGAAAATACCAGGCAGGGTGATTCTTTGAAACACAGGGGAGGGTCTTCTGAGTCCCCATGGCTTAAAGACTCAGGACAGGAGAGATGGAAAATGCTGATGGCAAGCAGGACCCTGTCACACATTTCTGAGGGGGGATTTTTTTTTTGGTGGGATCTGCTTGGGTTTCGGGAATAAACTGCCGAGGTCGGACATGGGTTAGTCTAACCCATCCTACTCCTGCTAGGCAGAAGGGATTGTAGAGAGCGATCATCAGTCCCTTCATCTTACTTATAGAAAAGCATAAACCCAAATTGTGGACATCACTTGTGCAAGAATGAGTCCAGGGCAGAGCCAGACCTGGAACAGGGGTGTCCTGACTCCTCTGTACTCTCCCCTTAGAAAAGCCCATTTCAAGACAGCAATAGAAACACAGTCTGCAGATTTCTCTTCTGCTTCCGGAGCTGGAAGAAAGCAGGTTCTCCCCCTCCTTCACCCTGAAAACTGGCTCACCCATCAGACACAGTTGTAAACAAAAACACGGCACACAGTGTCCCGTACCGGGTGGCCAATTATGGTGAGGGATGCCCCAAATCCAAACAAAATCAAATCAAACAAAAACCACAATGAGCCTAATACTTAAAAGGTGATGCTACCAAGGTGAGGACTTTAGTCCTTTCAGGTGAGGCTCAGAAGGGACACTTTGGAATTACCGGGGAGCCTTCTGGCGAAGAGTCCTTCTATTAGTCACCAGCTGCAGGAGATATGCGAAGCTGGGGGTGAACGGTGCGTGCCTTAGTAGATCTCATCCAGCACCCGCCCCCCAACACTCAGGAGGCACTTTTGGCATTATCATATGACTTAAATTGAAAATAGATTTTCAAAATCATGTGAGTCATGGTTTTGCATCGAAGTCCCTCCCCCGCAGTAGCTGTTAACTAGATGGAAAGTCAGAAAAGGAAGAAAATAGGAAACAGACACCAAAGCAGAGATGTCATAATCTTGGACAAAAACCAAAGCTGCTTGTGTGGAGAAGAAACTGAAATTTGTTAAGAATCCAAATGGAATTTCATTGAGTTAGAAAACTGGTTTTCTCCTGGTGAGGGTATACACACTCAGGGCCATTGATGGGCACGTAGAATGCACCATTTCAAAGACTATTAATTATGCTAATATCTTTTGTTCATCTTTTTTGATAATAGGCACATTGTTCCGTATGGACTTGGAAGCCCTTCTAGGTCCAAGCGATCCTTAAAGGATCTATTTGCCACAAAGGCAACAGACCACAGGAAGAGATGCCAATGTGCTAGCCAAAAAGACAAGAAGTGCTGGACTTTTTGCCAAGCAGGAAAAGAACTCAGGTGAGGTAGAAACCCTTTTGCTTTCAATCAGTTTTATGGCCTCCTGATCTTCCTGCTTTGATGTTGCCTTTTTGTTTAAGAGAAATTAACAGAGATTTTGTGAGAGCTGAAGATACCATTGCTGAAAAGTTTTCCTCCTATCTGTGTTTTAACAGGGACCAAGACAGTATGGAGAAGGGCTGGAATGACCATAAGAAAGGAAAAGACTGTTCTGAGCTTGGAGAAAAGTGTATTCATCAGCAGCTGGTGGCAGGAAGAAAAATAAGAAGGTAAGAGACTCCCAAGGACAGCTAGCCCCAGTCACCAGTGCTAATGGGTTGCTCCCCCAAGTACTCTCATCTTGATGGAAGAAAGGCTTAGAAGAAAAGAACAAAGATCTTCATAGTCAATAGATTAGAAAGAGCAAAGGAATCCCTCTCAAGTATTTTTGAATGCAGACCTTTGCCCACTATACACTTGGATGATCTTAAGCACGTGCCCCTCAGTCTAAAGTTAGATTTTCCCAACAAGATACATCTACAGACACCTTTGACATTTGGTCATATCTAGTCCTTGCTTTTCTAAGTCAATGCATTTGCCACTTTCCTTGAGAAATTAACAGTCCTTTCCGGGAAAGGAGTTTTGATGTTTATTTTATATTACTTCGTTTTATTTTTAAATCAAAGTGTCATGTATGATCAAGTTCTTCAAAAAGTAGCAGTTACTCCAATGGCCAAAGGGAAAAATAAAGTCATTAGGTAGGGATGGTGAGCATTAGAACATGCTGTTTGGGGGGTTTATTTTTTTAAAATAGGGAAGTGCATTTGCTGAGAGCCCATGTCATTCTGAAAAGCTCTCATCTCTTCTAGTCGGTCGTGAGCTGGGGCAGAGAAGGGACGCGCATTAGTCCACACCCTGGGGTTGTGATGGGCAGCTCTAGAGGGATGACCCTTCCAAATCCAAAACCTTTTGGAATTCACAAGAGGAAATCTGCACTCGGAGCTGTCACGTGTTCTACATTTCCCTCTCCTGGTCCATGGAAAGTTTTCCTAGAAATCCAGTGGCAAGGAGTTCTGTGATCAAAGTGTGTTGAGCAGCAATGACATCTGCGTTGTTTACTGCTGATGGGTGGGGCATCCTCAACTATCTGGGACGTCTCGTTGGCCATTGTTGTTTCCATATTTATAATGTCAGGCCCCCGATGCTCCCTCCAGATCACCGGGTTCCATAAGCTACAATTCCTTAACTGACTTGGAAGTTATTATTATTTTTCTATTCGTTTTTATTGTATCAACGATTGAATCACTATTACAGTTCCCTTTCTTTTTCCTGCCAAAAGAAAACATTAAACCTGCAAAAAATACAGATCTATATTTTTTAATTGCCATACACCATTTACTTTGGACCTACCTGTACGCCTCATCTCTTTTTGTTCCTTTCCCACCAAGTCACCTTTAATTGCTTTTGTGATTAAGAAGACATCCGTGGCTATTTGAGACCTACATGGAGGTAGTTTCTGTATAGAATCCTGTGGTGGTAGTTGGGATGGGGCAACAGAAGAAAAGAGAATATCTCTAGTTTACCTTAAAATTGTACTTTAAAATTGTACTGAATGCCCAATTCCCTTTAGATATGACCATAGCTCCTCTCCCCTTCCCCCCATCCCCAGCATAAAGGTGGGGGGGGGCTGCATTTTCACTTGAGTTTAACCAAGAGTAGCATACTGTTGCGGTCAGTGGGGAACGTTCAAGAACCAGACTTAGATTTGTTTGTGCCGGATTCTAATTTTAGATGCCTCTTTTGCCTAGAAGTTTTTTTTTTTAAATAACATTTGTTTTCTCTTGTCTTGTTTTAATAGGTTGGACACCATCAGCAACCGCATCAAAACAGCTTTTCGTGTCGCAAAGCTGAAAGCCGAGCTCTACAGAGAGAAGCAAGTGACCCACAACCGAACACACTGATGGCAGGTCCCTGGGGCCCGTGGCCCACCCATCCGCAAGCCTTCTCCTCCACGGAGGGAACCCTGTGGCTGATTCTGCACTCTCTCCCCACGGCTGGGATCAGAGCAAAAGCATCCTCCCTGCTTCGACCGTTTCTTGTTCCAGACTGTCAATGGACCAGTGCCCTCGTTCTAAACATTACAGTGAAGACTAAGGAGTCCCCCAGTCCATCTTCATTTGCTTCCATCAGTGATAACTGCTTTCGTCTCTCCTCGTTTGGGGTAACGATGGACCACTCAGAAAGCAGAGAGACACACAGTGACTTGTGAATTAGGGTGTCATCCTCCAGAGGGAGGACAGGAGATTCCATACACGGTGGAATTTCTGAAGAGGGTCCGAAGGGAGTGTTTGTGTCTCACTCAGGCGCCTGGCACATTTCAGGGAGAAACTCCGAAGTCCACGCAAAGGTTTTCTAAGGAATGCACAAATTGAAAACACACCCGAAGGACACTCAAGTGAAGAAAAAAAAAAAAAGGAAAAAGACTTTTTTTGCTTTTTAAATTCACAAAATGCAAAACTAAAAGAAACTGTTACTACTGTAAATCGGGATAGGTTTGATGAATCTGAGTCTACCTCACCTCTCTTGCACTCTTGTAGAAGTATTTTCCCACCGTTAATTATCGCCCCCCTCCCCTGCCCCCCCGGCCCGGCCCCCTCCTGCCATCCCCTCCCCCAGAACCCCCGTAGTCAATCTTGGCCTCATAGATGTCTAGTCTACCATGTCAGTAGTAGATGTAACATTTTCATGGTAATCTACTAGCTCTGATTCATAAGAAAAAAGACCCTGGAATCAGAAGTTTCCCTTACCTTGATCCTTGGAAACAAAATGGTCTAGAGTTGTTTCTGAAAGATGTTGCAAAGTAAACATTTGGTTATGCTTTAAAGCAGTAAAATTATTTTCCTTTATGTAACTGGCCAATGGAAGAGGGATTGGATTAAATTTTGATGTACTTATTTTTTTATAGATATTTATATTCAAAACAATTTATTCCTTATATTTACCATGTTAAATATACGTTTGGGCAGGCCATATTGGTCTATGTATTTTTTTAAAAATGTATTTCTGAATGAAATTGAGAAAATGCTTTGTTTTGCCTGTCAAGGTAACGACTTTAGAAAATAAATATTTTTTCCCCCGACTGTACTGATTTCGAATCATTTCTGAAATTCCCAAGAAGTGGGCCAAAGTGCTAAGAATTATGAAGGGAAATGATTAAAGTTGTTTTTTTGGGTGGTAATAAGAAGGAAAATAGTCTTGGCTAATCACAAAAGAACTTGATCCGGATCTTAAAAGTTGCCCTTAGATTATATTAAGGTAAAAAAACAAAACAAAAACCCAGCTTTAATACCTCCATCGTTCCCTGGATAGCAGCCTTCTGCTTCCTCTTCTCCTCAAAAACTCTCCAGGGGCTTGCTTCATCCATTAACTTCGCTTAGGCTATGAGACAGGATCCCACAGTTAAAGCGGATGGGGTGGTGAGAGGTGCTTTCTCCTAATCAGCAGGCTGAAGGAAGCAGTGGCAAGATGACTCCCCAAAACGTACCTAATTATACACAGTTCCACACCAGAAAAATGCTTGGAGGAAACAGCCGGTTCAGAGCAAGTAAGCCCCCCTTCCCTAGCTTTTTAAATTTATTTATGGGTTTTTTTTTTTTTTTTGGCTCAGATTTAGACTTTTGTTTATTAAGGAACACCAAGTGCTTTTGCTTCCCTGTGGGAGCCCAGGACTGCACACAGGCCAGTGGTGGTGGAGATACCGAATGCTGGGTCTGGGGCACAGGCATTGTGCTACATCCTCCTCTCCACTTTGCCTTGCTGGTCTTGCCAAACCATCTGGGAGACTGGTGTTTCGAATGGTTGTTACCAACAGAAGCCCAGAAGAGCTTGATGAGCTCTTAAGACTCTTCCCCTTCCTTCCCTAATAGGAAAGAATGCCTAGAATTCAACAAATATTAACTCATGATGATCATTGTTGTCCAACAATGATACAACTAAGGGACGTTGAATACCAGCCTTCAGGTGACTGTAGCCAGTGTCCCAGGTAGAGTTTCTAGATAGATATTGACATTGTTTTTTATCTTCCATTCTTTCTCTCTCTCTCTCTCTCTCTTTTTTTAAAGGGACAGTCCAATATCTAAAAGCGTGGTTTCTGGAAGTCTGTTTAGAGTAGATTTCTCCCTTTACACTTAAGGCCAGGCAGAGCTTTGATCTCAGGACTCTGAGGACCAGATAGTGCTTGATCTAGCAAACTGTTTGTCGGTGTGTGATTCTTAAGGGAATTGTGACGTTTTGTCCACAATGACCAGGGGCTTGGTTTGAACTTGGCCACTGTTTAATCCTGAGTGATCAGTCCGCCGCAGAGTTTTCCCATCAGTTAAATGAGTGGGGAATTTCTCTAGTGGCTCCAAGAAAGAGTGTGTGTGTGATGTCATGAAGCATGAAGGCGTCGAGATGGCATGAGAGTGAAGGTCTGAGCTTGGAAGATGTGGGTCTGTTACCTTTAAGAGGGAGTTGGGATGGGAAGAAGCCGCCGAGTACAAGAACAACACAGTGAGCAAAGGATTTTCTTTTTCTTTTTTTCTATTATTTCGGCCTTCAAATCCTCTTCCTCCATGCTTCCTGCTTCAGTAGCTGGCGAGAAAAGCAAGAAGCGTGAAGGAGCTCTCCCAGGGCATGAGGTTCAGTAGTAAAATTAAGCTGGAAGGTTTAGAGGAAATGAATATTTTTCAAGTATGTAGAAGAAAGATTCGATATTATTTAAGGCTCATGTTGGCTTGAGGGGTGAAGTGGTTGAATGGTCTGTCACATTTCCTGCTGTTTTTCTTTCCAGTGAAAGTGTGGTTTCTGGAAGTCCACTTAGGACAGATTTCTGTCTTCACACTAGAGGCCAGGCAGAGCTTTGATCTCAGGACTCTGAGGACCGGAGGATCCCGGGTGGGGAGTAGTGACCTTTGGTGGAGGGAGAGGAGCCCACTAAAGGGTAGAGAATTTTTCTCCCCATGGAATGAGTTCTTTTGTGATGGAAACCATTGGCTTTAATCCTGTCCGTGCTTCCTGAAATAGTCAAGGTATTATACAAAGTAGAGTTCTGACAACTCGGCTAGAGCCCTTTCAAGAAGACTCCTACTGACGGTGAGAAAGAGCAATCTTTTGTCTTTCCAGGTGAAAGAGCCAGCATCCAGAGAGGGATAGGACCTACCTAAGATTATATAGCAAAGCTGTGGATTCTCTGGACCCTGAACCCTTGAGCACAGATGTTTTACCCAGAGGCATCTGGAGGTCAGTGGAAACTGATGCCCAAGTAAACCTTAACAGAGGGTTCTGGGTGGTAAAGGCAAAGTCAGTCTTCATAAAAGCTTTAACTTCCAGCCTCATGGGTGATGGTTGGTGGGTCCATCCTTACAGTATGTAAGGGAAGAAATGTAGGGGAAGAGAAAAGAAATATAAGGAGACATACAAGTTCCATGGCTTCGTGAAGTGAATTTCTATAGGATGAAATAGAATATAACAGGGAACTTGCATTTACCATTATTTTTTTAGTGTTCAATTACTAAATAATCCTTAGATAATATGAGTGAAGAGGAATTTTTTTGCTTCGTTCTCTTACTCTATAGCAATACTCAAGTATAGTAATCCTCAAAGATGCTTTATTTCTTTTTCTAACATCCCCAAATTGCTTATTTTCAAGCCCAAGTTCTCCACGTGTAAAATACTGTTTTCAAGCCCATATTCTCAATGGAATTCCTTCCACCTTGGCTTTTGCTCCTTTTTGGACCCCTCACAATTCCTGGGATCCTGGGTCTGGGGCTCAGGATGTTTCCAGTGCAAGTGAACATTGCTGTTCTCAGAACCTTATGATTTAACAGCAACCTCTCATGTTTGTGAGAGAACTGGACTTCCCGTAGCATTCTCCCTTTTGTCATTGATCTTCCCCCCCAACAATCTTTTTGGGATCTTGGGGCCATATTTTTATACCTGTTTGAGAGCTGAGGACACAGATATAGTGAATGAGTAAGTGACTTGTCCAGACTCCTCCATCAGGCAAATAGTAATACTAGATCTCGAGACCCTTGACTCTTTCTCCTAAAACTGCCCCAGAGCCCAGGGCATAGCACTGGCCCCGACTCTTGGACAAATGTGGATTATTTCCATCTCTCCAGTGAGCTCTGAGTGGAATTAACTTTTTATTACTCTTTTAGGAATATTAATGTTCCACGTGTGCCCCCGCACCCTAGTCCTGAGCATCTTCATTGCATAATATTTGTTTACTACAACAACCTGCACCAATGCATGACTGGTAGAGAAATCATGACAATTTATGATGCCTGTTTCCAAGCCTGGTACCATGGAATGCTTCACTGACAACTACTGGCTGTAGGTCCAACGCACAAAAGAAACTGTGATAAATGTGATAGCCGAGGCCATACCATTTCTCTAGAATAATCAGAGAAAGATCTAGGGCTGGTGCCATTGGATAATGAAAACAGAAGGGCCTCGACCTTGGGGACACTGACTAATGGAAATGATGGGTCCCAAGCATGACAGGCTGCTCATAGCTCTGAGAGGTGGCACGCTGGGGATCTTACATGCAGATTTGCTGGTTCAGAGGGTTTTTTTGTGCTCCTGCATCTTATTTCTTCACTTTCATATTCTGAGTCATCCTGGGCCTCCACCCTAAACTGCTGTGGAAGTATCTAGGATGAAATTTGCAATATTAAGCTACCTTTGGCATGGCATGGGCACTGACCAACTGGAACAGACGGGGACAGAACAGTGGGAGCAGGTCTCTGGTGGCCCCCAGCTAGGCCAGATGTGACACCTCCAGGCGAGGGATTGTGGGGAGGTCCAGTAGTCTGGGGAAGGGATGGGAAGCCAGGGTGGAATTTTTAGGCTTCTCGCTATAGCTATTTACCAACAGGATGGAAATATTGCAATATTTTAAAAACAAAAATGGTCTCACTGGTACACGCCTCTGTGCATGGCAGACTTGGAAGTATCAAAACTCTTTTCCACTTGGTAAATTACCCTCTCTACAGCTTCACTGAGTGGAATACCATTGTCTCCATGTCCACTGAAGTCAGTGCTGTATCTTTCTGTCCACACATCTCTGTTGTCCTGCTGCACTGTCATCCCGCCACGTTGTTTTTCTCACTCTCCATGTTCCCTTCACATGGGCCTCAATCTCCTTTGGTAGAAATGGAAATACTCTAAAATATTCTTTGTCTCTTGAACGTTTTTAGCAGGGCAATTTTATGGTCACCAAATCTGAGGTTTGCCTTACACCAGGATTTGGTAGGGTTCTAGGTCTGCTCTAGGATTGTCACACAGAAGGAGCTGTTCATAAGTTCGCATCTTACCCTTTTAGATTAACTCCAGACCAGGAAAGGGTGTCTATATAATTTATTATTAAAACTAGTGTACTTTTGATAGTGCCTCTTAGCAATTACCAGAGGACC